AAAAATCAGCCGGGCATGGTAGCGCATGCCTGTAATTCTGGCTACTCGGAAAGCTGAGGCGGAAGAATCGCCGGAGCCCAGCAGGTCGAGGCTGCGGTAGCCGGAAGCAGCCACTGCACTCCAGTCTGGGCAACAGAGTGAGGCTCCAACTCAAACAAAACAAAACAAAAAAAAACCAACAACCTTGCAAACTGAATCTGAAAAACAAAAAAATCAAAGTTAAAAGAAAACTTATTAATGTTAATATCCTTCCAGTCTGGGCGACAGAGTGAGACTCCAACTCTAAAAAAAATTAAATAAATAAATTAAAAAAAAAAAAAAAAATTTTACTATTTATTTATTTATTTTGAGTCAAAGTTCCACTCTGTTGCCCAGGCAGGAGTGCAGTGACATGATCATGACAATCACAGCTCACAGCAGCCTGTCCTGCTGGGTTCAGGCAGTCCTTCTACCTCAGCCTCCTGGGTAGCCAGGACTACAGGCGTGTGCCATCAGTTGTTGGATTCTTTGAAGAGATTCTTTGAAGAGATAAGATTTCACTGTATTTCCCAGGCTAGTCTCAAACCTCTGGTCTGAAGTCGTCTGCCCTCCTTCGCCTCCCAAAGTGCTGTGATTACAGGGTTGACTCACCGTGCCCAAACATCATTAGCTATTACAATTTTAAATGCACACTTTCTGAACTAATAGTTTCACTTTCAGGAACAACGACATTATCCATGTATTCAAAGAAATATGTCCACGGTTGCTCACTGGAACGTGGTTTTCAATTTTTCTTACAATCAGAAAGTCCCTTAACAGAGGCATGTTTAAATCAATGATAGTACTTTTCAACTAGAGAATATTCTGTAGACCTGAAAAAGATCAGATCACTACGTATGAAAAGGAAAAATAAATACCAGCAGAACTACAAAATGGTAAATAAAATAAAACCTCTTGCTTGGTGGAATACATGTGCCCATATAGGCACACGTGTGTGTACATACCCTTTAGCACACATATGAAAAACATTAAAGAGGAATATGCACTATTCTGCTAGACACTGCTCACTTTCTGCATTATATGTACGTTAGATTTCAGCTGTTTATAAGGCAGGGTCCCCCTCTCTTATCTGAGTTTCACTTTCCTTGGTTTCAGTTTCTCAAGGTCAACCTCAGTCCAAAAATGTTAAAAACACAGTGGGGCCTCCATATTCAATTAACCTCAGATCAAAAATATTCGGAGGAAAAAAGGGATGGCTGCACCTGGAAATGATTATGTTCAGACTTTTTTTCTTGTCATTATTCCCTAAATAACACGATATAACAACTATTTACACTGCATTTACATTGTACTAGGCATTATAAGTAATTTAGAGATAGCCAGAAAGATGTGCATAAGCTATATGCAAAATACTATGCCATCTTATACAAAGAACTTGAGCATTCATGGATTTTGGTATGGGGAGGTGTCCTGGAATCAATCCCCACAAATTCTAAGGGACAACTGAATTTTCGGGGAGATGGGAAGAGAGACCACATTCACATAACCTTTATTACAGTATATTGTAATAATCATTCTATTTTTATTAGCTATTGTTGTTAATCTTTTACTATACCTAACTTATAAATTAAACTTCATCATAAATATGTTTGTATAGGAAAAAACACATGATATATAGGGTTCGGTACTATTTGTGGTTTCAGGCATACACTGAGGGGGGGTCTTAGAATGTATTCCCCACAGACGAGGGGCAATTACAGCCATATTATTGTTATCAGAAAAATAAAAATAAAAGCATTAAAATGCATGGCCTATGCTTTCAGTGACACCAGAGCAGAAACTACAGATAATCTTCAGAGTACTCACTTGTGGTCCTTGAAAACATCCACCAGAAAATTCTGGTCAATGGTTGGAAATAACTTAAAGAGCTGCTTCTCCTTGAGTTTGGTGGCTAAATCTTTTTCAGACGTAAGTGTCTCTCTTTTCTAAAACCAAAACACAAAAATTATCTTTAAGATGAAATGTATAATATTAGCAAAGTTGAACATAAGCATGGTTATTTAGTTCCAAAATGACTAATAATTTAAAAGCAATCAGAGATTTCTTCAGACTGAAGGTTGAAATTAGTAATATAGGCATTCTTATATAAAGTATTTTTGCAAAGTATATGAAGTTACTCATAAACATGTATATATACACACAATCCCACACGTACATAAATATATACACGCACTCTCAAACAAGAACATCCAATGCATTCAATCACATTCTATTAAAAGGATGAAGATATAAGCCGGGCGCTGTGGCTCATACCTATAATACCAGCACTGTGGGAGGCAGAGGCGAGAGGACTGCCTGAGCCCAGGGGTTTGAGACCAGCCTGGGCAACATGGTGAGACCTCACCTCTACAAAAAATAAAAAATAAAAAAATATTAGCTGAGCGAGGTGGCACACGCCTGTAGTTGCAGCTACTTGAAAGATGGGGCGGAAGGATCAACTGAGGTCAGCAGGTCATGGCTGTGGTGGCTGTGAGCATGCCACTGCACTCCAGCCTGGGTGACAGAGTGAGACTCTGATTCAAAAAAACAAAAAACAAGCTGGGCACGGTGGCTCACGCCTATAATCCCAGCACTTTGGAAGGCCAAGGTGAGAGAATTGCCTGAGCCCGCAGGTTCGAGACCAGCCCAGGCAACTTGGCAAGACCTCATCTCTACAATAATAAATCAAAAAATAAGCCAGGCATGATGGCAAGTTCCTGTAGTTCCAGCTACTTGGAAGGTTGAGGAGGAAGGATCGCCTGAGCCCAGCAGGTAGAGGCTTTAGTGGCTGGGCAACTTGGCAAGACCTCATCTCTACACTAAATCAAAAAATTAGCCGGGCAAAGTGGCACACGCCTATAATTCCAGTTACTTGGAAGGCTGAGGCAGAAGGATTACCTGAGCCCAACAGGTCGAGGCTGCAGTGGCCATGAGCGTGCCACTGCACTCCAGCCCAGGCGAGAGTGAGACTCCGACTCAAAAGAAAATAATCAGTATATAAATACATGCCACAATATCCTGGACAATTATTACTGAAGGTGGGCCACAAATTTAGTTCTGAGCCTCTTAGTGGCCAAAGCAAAGGGAGAAACAAAGACTCTCAGTGTCCATAAAATGAGAACAAAGCAGTTGCTCAGAAGTACAGCTTTTTCTGGTACTGAGACCTGAGAGATACTTCTCCCATGGGTTCTCATAAAAGGGACACTGTATGATGCTGGGGGACAACATGCTCAAAAACATATTCTCCTCAATGGGCAAAAACTACAATGTACAAATAAGTTGCAAACTCAGACTGATAGAAAAATCTTAGAATTCACAATTAGCCAGGCTCGGTGGCTCAGCCTGTAATCCCACGCCTTTGGGAGGCTGAGGCAAGTGGATTGCCTGAGCCCGCGGGTTCGAGACCCACCTGGGCAGGCGAGACCTCATCTCTACAATAAAATCAAAAAAATTAGCCAGGCATGGTAGCATGCGCCTGTAATTCCGTCTACTCGGAAGGCTGAGGCAGAAGGATCGCCAGAGCCCAGCGGGTCGAGGCTACGGTGGCCGGGAGCGGCAACTGCACTCCAGTCTGGGCGACAGAGTGAGACTCCAACTCAAAAAAAAATTCACAATTATTTTTAAGTTTTTCACAAATATAGTCATCCTAAAATAATGGTATAAGAACTGCCATGGTATTTGTCACAAAGTATATCTGGATCTGCTCTGTTAAAACTGCCAGTCCAAAAGAACTTTCTTAAATTATACTACTTTAATTACAACACAGGCTATGGTAAACATCCTTAAAGTGACAATTTGTCAACATCACGATGTGACTAAATTAATTTGTGTTTGCTACAAACATCCTAATGTTGAAGGATAACTTTCTACACAATTTCAAAGACAATAAAATGACTCTGAAAATTTCTCAATATAAAAACTACAATCCTGGAAAATCCTAGAATAGTTATTTGTTCTGAAGCTTTACCATATGTAGGCCACAGATAATATCAAACAGTAATAAGAGGAACCATAAGACTGGCAAGAAGTCATGAAAAAAGGTCAGACAAAGCTGAACATATCACGAGAGTGACAGAAACAAGCCATCTCAAGAACTAAAAATAGGTCAAGTTTTACTTAAGATATGCATAAATCTAAACTGACTAAAAAAATTCAGTGATCTGATTTTGAGCTGTAGTCTCACTGTTACCCAGGCTGGAGTGCAGTGGCACACTCATGGCCACAGCAGTCTCAACCTGCTGGACTCAGGTGATCCATCCACCTCAGGCTTCCAAGTAGCTGGGACCACAGGTGTATGCCACCACACCTGGTTAATTTCTTGATTTACTGTAGAGACGGGTCTCGCCAAGTTGCCCAAGCTGGTCTTGAACCCTGGGCTCAGGCAATCCTCTTGCCTTGGCATCCCAAAGTGCTGGGATTACAGGCGTGAACCACTGCGCCTGGTAATCTGATTTTGTAGCAATCTATCAGGTCATAGTTTCTAAACTACAAATTCTGGTTAACATCAATGAACTAAAAACTAATGACCTTGATCATCTTACAATGAATTATTCTATTCATGTATTACATGCAAAGTTGATTTTATACTGTTTACTTCAAAGTATATGTACAAAGTATATTTATCCACTGGGGACAAAGAGGGGGGAGAACCATCAAGAAATTATTCGACTGGGCGCTGTGGCTCACACCTATAATCCCAGCACTTTGGGAGGCTTAGGTGAGAGAATTGCCTTAGCCCACAGGTTCAAGACCACCCTGGGCAACTTGGTGAAATCTCATCTCTACAATAAGTCAAGAAAAATTAGTTGGGCATGATGGCACATGCCTGTAGTTCTAGCTTGTTGGAAGGCTGTGGCGGAAGGATTTCCTGAGTCCAGCAGGTCGAGGCTGCGGTGGCCATGAGCGTGCCACTGCCCTCCAGCCTGGGCAACAGAGTGAAACTCCGACTCAAAAAAACAACAACAACAACAACAAAATTTTAAAAACCAGCATTTATATATTAAAAACAGAAATTATCTTTCTGAAGCTATAATGAAAAGCCTTTGGCCCCTTGGAACAAAGTCATTCAGTTTCTATTACCCAACTCACAAAAATCACTTACAGGAGAAAAAAAATGCCTTAGCTTGTGAAGTCGAAAGATGCTCATTTGTTCACTAATATAACAAAATATTAAAGGTTGGAACAATAAAGATCAGTTCCAGTGGTGGAAAACGGCATTTCAATAAGTATCATGCCATTTGGGCCTAAGTGGTACAATTTTTCTTTAACTTTTTAATGAAACAGAAATTTAAACACACATTTTTTGTGTGTGTGTGTGAGTTAGAGTCTCACTCTGTTGCCGTGGCTGGAGGGCAGTGGTACGCTCATGGCCATTACAGCCTCCACCTGCTGGGCTCAGTCTTCTAAGTAGCTGGAACTACAGATGCAAACCACCACGTCCAGCTTATTTTTTTATTTATTGTAGAGAGAAGGTCTCATCAAGTTGCCCAGGCTGGTCTAGAACCTCCTGAGCTCAGGCAATCCTCTCGCCTTGGCCTCCCAAAGTGCTGGGATTACAGGCTTAAGTCACCACGCCTGGCTGACGTTTATTTTCTCAAAAAAAAAAATAAACAGAAACTTCACTTTACTTTAAACTTTTATCCCTTACGTCAACATATCTAATTATAGGAAGCTGTAAGTGAAGTTGGTTTCTTTTGCATTTCTTATTAGTTTGTTTTAGTATTAAAGAATTTTAGAATCAAATGGGAAAAAAATCTGAGAGATTATTTAGCCCAATTCTCAAGGGCAAAAAAAAATAATTTTTAGATGATGATCTTAAAACATTTCTATCCTCTTTCTCATTCATTTGCTCAAAGGAGCACCTTTATACTTGGCTGCATACACAGAACTAGGACATAGGAAGAATGGAGGAGTTTCTCCACCATTGTATTAATCTTTACATTTAGCTTATTAATTCAATAGGAAACATGCTACCATTCCCACCTTTGCATCCTATCGTAATCCAAGGCATGATCTCTTCAGTAGAGCTTACAACTTTAGTGCTGTGTTAAATAACCTCTTCAATGTATGCATGTATTAATTTGGAGACGTTTCTTTTCTTTTTTTTTTTTTGAGTCGGAGTGTCACTCTGTCACCCAGGTTGGAGTGCAGTGGCACGCTCACGGCCACCACAGCCTCAACCTGCTGGGCTCTGGCAATCCTTCCATCTCAGCCTCCCAAGTAGCCAGAACTACAGGTGTGTGCCACCACAGCCGACTAATTGTTAGATTTTTTTTGGGGGGGGGTTCGGAGTCTCACTCTGTTGCCCAGGCTGGATGTAGTGGCACTCTCACAGCCACTGCAGCCTTGGCCTGCTGGGCTCAGGCAATCCTTCCACCTCAGCCTTCTAAGTAGCCACCATGCCTGGCTAATTTTTGTGATTTGTTGTAGAGACAAGGTGTCACCAAGTTGGCCATGCTGGTCTCGAACCCCCGGGCTCAGGTAATCCTCTCGCCTCAGCCTCCCAATGTGCTGGGATTACAGGCTGAGCCACCGTGCCCGGACTGTTTGATTTTTGTAAGCTGGTCTTGAATCTCCAGGCTCAGGCAATCCTCTTACCTCTGCCTCCCAAAGTGCTGAGATTACAGGCATGAGCCACCATGCCCGGCTGTTTGAACTTTTTTTAACTGAAAAGAAAGGGTATTTAATTTTTTAATTCAAGTTCATAAACTTTTAAAATTTTTCTCTAAAAAACTGTATCAAAGATAGACACATCTCTAATAATAAGACAGATATTTCTTATTACTAAATTAGATATAAAATTATCTTTAAATAAAAGAATTCTTTCATGTTTTTCAAGAAGTAAAAAATTACAGAGATAAATATTAAAAGCTAAGAAAGATGTAGCTTATCACCTGCAAAACTGAGTCTAAAACAGCACACATTTAACATGGATGGCTTGTTGTCAAAGAGTACCAATTAATTTTAAACCTCCAGCTTCAAATTGTACTTGATATTTTGCAATTTTAACATTAACTTCTATCAGGTTACATATGGTTTCCAAACTAGGAATTAAGAGATTCGCATGAAAATCACAAAGTAAATACACACAATCAACTACAGTCAGAGACAATAGCATTGATCTTAACTCATACCAAATCATGTTTTTCCTGAAAGATCATTTCTTCTGACATGATTTCTCGGAGTGACACTTTTTTAGTTTGAGTATTCCAATGATCCAGGAAGGGCAGCATTTCATCTGCTGCTAAAGTCTTCATTAATTTTTTGTCTGTACTCTGAGATGACTTTTGTTCAGAATTATCAAGATCAATATGTCCAACCAGGGAAGGATCTAGAAAGCAGTACAGATAGTGTCATGCTCACAACAGCAAATGTTCAAATTATTCACGTGTTACATCTACCTCAGAGAGACCAAGGAAACACAATTTTTTACTTCTCAATTTGTAAATATAGCACAACTCTGAAATTTCAAAATACGCCTTCATGTCACTGCAAGCAAGAAATGAGATGTGTTAATGTAAGGAGGAAGGTGAGCCAGCTCAAGTTGCAACTAGGACAGCTCTGGTCAGCTCTGTCCAACCATCTCAGGTCTGAGAAGGTCAATCAATATTCTGGCACACCCAGAATTCAGGCATACAATAAAGACAGAGCAAATAACATTCAAACTAAGGAATGGAACATTCTAAGACATTCATGGTAAAAGAATTTATCACTATCAGAATTTAAGGTGTAACATTTCAGCATCTCTAAGGGCCATACTGACACATTCTGATACACTCTTTTGCTTTCCTGGGGAGTGAAGAAACAGAAGACACTGGCATTTGTACACCACGGCACCCTTTGGGCACCTCAAGCCCTCATGGCCTTTGCACTTGAAACTATGACATGAGTACAGATCTGACCAAAGCAGGTTCTAAGAACTTTCAAGTTGGAGCTCCTTGCCTTGATCCCAGTGTGGAGTGGACAGAAAGGCATCTGGACAGCACAAAAGGAGGCCCCTCATGGACAGACCTGTCCCCTGCAATAGGCACTGCAGACAATGCATATCTAGAGAACACATCAGGAACCAAACACCGTCAAGGTACAGGATGTATGTACCAGAAGAGCAGGCCGAGGCTGACCTCTATACTCTAGCAGTACTGACATCAACAAGAATTTGGAAGTGCCAAGTAATATTCCCACGGTGCTTCCAATCAAATATGTGAATATCTTATTGCTCTCAAATCAAGAGTTTTCCTCCACGCAGAGCAAAACCTCCACAGGAAACACTCACACAATAAGCTTTTGTTCTGCTTGAGGTTTTATGTTGCTTTATATTAACATCAAATATCAAGTATTTTTAAAGAATTTTTATTTGCAAATCAGAATGTGTGGGTAACATATTATGTGGAAGTATATTTAGAATGAGTTTAAATTCAAACACACGCACCAAGTTTCAACACTAGGACAAGAACACTAGAAAGACACACATGTCTTACCTTGTGTGGATTTGTCACAGGACACCTCTTCTTGTCTCTGTCGCTCCTAAATGCAGAGGCAGGGCAGGGATTGGCAAAGAAGGGGCACGTTAGTAAACAAGGTTCTAAAGTTCTATGATTTTCCTCTAAAAATCATCTCTTCTCACATAATTGTAAACCCTTCTTACTAAATCCAAGTGAAACAATAAAATTAGGTAGTAAAAATTATAAAGCCTAACTACATCTGTGTATCATTCCACCAATAGGGCCCTTATGCTGTACTCTTTTTTTTTTAAGTTGGGGTCTCACTGTGTCGTCTGGGCTGGAGTGCAGTGGCATGATCACAGCTCACTGTAGCCTCAACGTCCTGGGATCAGGTGATTCTTCCTCAGCCTTTTGAGTAGCTGGGACTACAGGTATGTGCCATTATGCCCGGCTAATTTTTAAAATTTTTTTTGTAGAGACAAGGTCTCTATGTTGCCCAGGCTGGTCTCAAACTTCTAGGCCTGCCTTGGCCTCTCAAAGTGCAGGGATTACAAGTGTGAGCACCATACCCAGCCTATGCTGCATTTTTAAACAAACTGTTTTTGAAGTTTAATCAATCAACATTACAGTCTCCACTTTATGGAGAAAAAAAAAGAAAGAACAATCACATTGAGCTCCATTGCTAATTATATAATTCAGCTAATCTGTAAATATCTAAAATACCAAGAAAAAAAATCAGTAATCTGTTAACTGGTAAAAGTTCACTCTCTCTCCAAGTCAAAATTCACCAGGACTCTTCTAACTTGAAGCCAAAATTCAATGGAACACTTTCATATAACATGGTAGTTTTTTTTTTGAGTTGGAGTCTCATTCCGTCTCCCAGGCTGGAGTACAGTAGCACGCTCACAGCTACGGCAGCATCGACCTGCTAGACTCAGGTGATCCTTCTGCCTAAGCCTTCCAAGCAGCTGGAACTACAGGCATGCACCACCACATCCGGCTAGTTTTTCTTGATTTATTGTAGAGACGAGATCTCATCAAGTTGCCCAGGCTGGTCTTGAACCCCTGGGCTCAGGCAATCCTCTTTCCTCAGCCTCCCAGAGTGCTGGGATTATAGGCATGAGTCGCCGTGCCTGGCCTAACATGGTAGATTTTACTGAAAAGAAAAAGTAACAAAATGGGCAAATATGGAGAAGTCACTGACCATGACAGACTCTTCCCATTTCTCATGGATCGCTTTGGCCAGGTTTAGGTCTATGTGAACCACACAGTCTTCAGCTGTCAGAGACCCTTGGGAGGAGGAAGGGGTGGAGAAAATATAATCATTACTCATTATATAGCTGCAGAAAACGTGCTCAACCACCTTACACAACACAAAACTAACCTGTCTTATTAATTACAAACTTATATTTCTACTTACCAAATGCCTTGGATTATTTGTTATATGCTATATTATTGTTTCCACCCTTCTTAAATGGAGCAATTATACAAAGCTTCATAATAAATCTATGTAAGCTATTCATTTCTATTAGTCTAAATATATTTACTTTATTCATCTCTATTAGGCAAGACCTTTCAACCTGAGTCCTAAAAAATTAATCTTGACTTCAATGTATCTGGAGTGGTACTGAAGGATTCAATAAGGTTCATCTGGACAAATAAGCATGAGGAAAATACCAGAGAAAACGTTCAACGCATGTATGGCTATTTTTTTCCAATTATATTTTTTTAAATCCTCTAGAAACAAAAACAGGCACTACTCTTCCATGTCAGTCAACATAGGAAAAAAAATTTTTTTTTTTTTTTGAGTTGGAGTCTCACTCTGTCGCCCAGACTGGAGTGCAGTGGCTGCTCCCGGCCACCGCAGCCTCGACCTGCTGGGCTACGGCGATCCTTCCGCCTTAGCCTCCCGAACAGCCGGAATTATAGGCATGCGCTACCACGCCCGGCTGACTTTTTGATTTACTGTAGAGATGAGGTCTCGCTGCCCAGGCGGGTCTCGAACCCGCGGGCTCAGGCAATCCACTCACCTCAGCCTCCCAAAGGCGCGGGATTACAAACTGAGCCACCGAGCCCAGCTTGGAAAGAATTTTATAATCAAAACAGAGCGTTCTTTAGTTATAGACTCGTCACACAAAGACATACATGTAGGCGATGTGCTTTTTCCTTACCTGTATCAATACCAACAGGGCCAAACAATTCAGTGAGTTGAAAAGCCAGTTCAGGGGGTAACGTCAACTCCAGGCAATTTATGGTCAGAGACTTAGTTGTCCCTGGAGTGGGACTCAGAATCTCAGTTTCATCTTCCTCACTAACTCCAGCCCACAAGCCACTCCCTGCCATTAGAATTTTCTCCATTCCCTGCTCATCTCCATTCATGAGTTCTGTGTTGGGAACCTTGACATGATCCGTTGGAAGATCTTCCTGTTCCTTTATTTCAAGAGAGTCAGTAAAATAAATGTCTTCACTTAACTCAAGATTTGAAGTATGAGATACAGAGTTTAAAATATCAGACAAATTTGAAGAATGTACATTGTCTCCCAATTCTGTGACAAGATATTTTTCCATCTCACTCACATCACTAGGAGTAGCAGCTTTTAGGCTATCTGGGGAAGACTGCTTAAAGCTAAATAAAAGCTCGGACTGACTGTTAGGAAGCGTTTCCGTATTATTCTTTAGATCTACAGCAGCATTGGGAGATGTGTTTGTTAAGAATTCAGGGTTTTCAGGAGTCCTGGCTCTTACTTCTGCCTGCTCTGAGTTCCTCTTTTCTGCATCACAGTTACTGACACCAATTCCATGGCTCAACTCTGGCAAAGAAGAATTCGAATCATTGGACGCTCCGCTTTGGCTATTCACTTCTTTCAAATTCAATCCCAGAGAAGATGGCCCCATTGGAGACTCATCATATGTTTTTTGGAAATTCTCAAATTCAGTGTCCTCACATAATTTAGTTTCAGAATCCAACAAAAGGCTTGTGGCCCAAATAATATCCTTATTACACCGCTCATACAAGTCTTTCAGGGCTTCTGATGAAAAGAATCCAAATAGTTTACAAAGAACGTTCAGGTTTTCAGACTCATCAATGCAGGTGAGCTCACTTTCTTCAACATATGTGCTTTTATCATGCATGGCCCTGTATGGAATTGTTTCTTGAGCATCTGATTTTGTGCTACTGTCGAGAGCTTTCGGCTTAAATCCATCTAATCTTCCTACAAATACTTTGACAGACTCTGAAACATTGATTTTATTCTTTTCTATTTTCCATAAGAGAGCAAAGTCCTGTGGTTCAGTCTGGGTATACACGCCTCCTTCTGTGCCAGGGACCCCTTCAGGCATTCCCTCTGGAAACTCAGCTACAGTCTGTGATCCCACCACTTCCGGAATACATGGCATATGACCAGTAGAAGCATGAGGCAGTGATGTGCTTTGCCCATGAATCTTTTCACTTAGACTAGTCTGACTCTCACAGGGCATTTCATTGGGTGGCATTTCAGGATTTCTTAGTTTGGAGTTATCTAACGTTAATTTTTCAGGGCTTGTACCCCAACAGGCTTCACATTCTGTGTCTAAGGTTATTTCACTCGTATTGCTATTCGTTCCCATTTGTAGGTTGGGCTCCTTTAAACCAGTTCTCGGCATTCTAGATCTGTGTTCCCTCTGAGCCAAAGAATCAGATGGAGGCCAGTCGCCCACCATGTTGAATGAGGGCTTTGTGGTATCTTTGTGAGCTTCATGTGGTTGGCTATTGAGGGGTTCTGAAGCATCAACAGGCGGTGACTTCTTGCCACCCTCCACACTGTCATGTGGAGAGCCTGGTGGCTCGACAGACTGTCCACTCACAGGAGTACTATCCTCTAATACCCTGTGTGACCGAGGACGACGATGCTTTTTGTCACTTACAACAGATGATGCTTTTTCAGCTTTTCGGTTCCTTTTTGTCCTCTGACTCATAGTCTTGTCCACTGGCCAGTCACCCACAAAACTTGGCAGCTCATGTGTTGGGAACTTTTCCAAAGCTGACGTGCTTGTTTGTTTCTCAGAGGCTTCTTTTTTAAAGGTTGCTCTCTCTTCCAGTGTTTCTCCAGCAGAAGAGCTTTCACTTTGAAGCGGAATAGTGCTAGTAAGACCACAGTCTTCCTGGTTATTTTCGCCACAGCAAGTACTCGGTGCTGCTGTCTCTACAGAACTCTCTGCATCAGGCTTATGACACTCTCCTGCAGGGACCATTTCTACTTCCTGTCCTTCACTTCTGTCCGTTGCTTGGTCTTTGTTTTCAGAGTCAGAAAAACACGTGTGTGGAGTTTCCAGAAGGAAAGTACTTTGACTGCTATGATTCAAACCACTTGTTTCTGTTCTCCCTTGGTTTAAATCTGCATCAGGGAGATGCGTACTATTCTCAGGTAATGTCATTTCTTTGGTCACTTCAAGGTTCGTCTCTTCACTTAACTCTAGATGCTTCAAAGATGAGGATAAAACATTTTCTTCTTTTTCAGAGGTAATATCTTCACTGACTCTTGGGCTGTAAAAACATTTTTTTCAAGTATTATGAGCAAGCTTCTTCATGCTACCATTAATGCTATGATTTAATTTAAAGAAGCATTCGACTTCTTTAATATGACACCAAACAATCATTCTGAAAATTTTAGAAATAAAGTACATTAAAATTATAAAAGTTTGGTTGTTTGTTTTTTTTGTCAGAGTCTCACTCTGTCGTCCAGGCTGGAGTGCAGTGGCTCATGGCCACCACAGCCTCAACCTGCTGGGCTCAGGTGATCCTCCCACCTCAGCCTTCCAAGTAGCTGGGACTACAGGCGCACGCTACCATGCCTGGCCAAATTTTTTTTGATTTATTGTAGAGCCGAGGTCTCACCAAGTTGTCCAGGCTGGTCTCAAACCCATGAGCTCAGGCAATCCTCTCGCCTCGGCCTCCCAAAGTACTGGGATTACAGGCTTGAACCACCACACCCGGCTGCATTGTGCTTCTTTAATATGATACATAACAATCACTCTGAAAATTTTAGAAATAAAGTACATTACTACTATAAAACTTTTTTTTTTGAGTCAGAGTCTCACTCTGTCACCCAGACTGGAGTGCAGTGGCATGCTCACTGCCACCACGGCCTCGACCTCCTGGGCTCAGGTGATCTTTCCACTTCAACCTTCCAAGTAGCTAGAACTATAGGCACAAGCCACCATGCCCAGCTTGTGATTTATTGTAGAGACGAGGTCTCACCATGTTGCCCAGGCTGGTGTTGAACCTCCTAAGCTCAGGCAATCCTCTTGCCTTGGCCTCCCAAAGTGCTGAGATTACAGGCTGAGCTACCACACCTGGCCCAAAAAAAGAAATTATAAAAGCTAAACTTGATCTTTCCCTAATTTACTATGAATACATTGTTTTGTTGTAACTCCATTACCTAGCATGATACTTGGCATAAAGCACTCAAGCTTTCTTGAATTGAATAGTATACATGAGATTTTCAGTTTGAGTGTTTATTATGCATTAAATATTAAAGTGAAGGCTCTGAATTTGTTCTCAGAAAAGAACATCACTTCCTGGCTTCTTTCTGACCTATTTAAGATTAGCATATGTAATAAAACCAGGTCTGTCTCTAACATAGTCTATCATTTGCTATATATGAAAACTATTTACAAAGTCAAAAACAGCCAGCCAACATGAAAGGTAGAAGGATTTTCATTTGAAATGTCATGGATTTTTTTTTTTTAAGGTAGGCACAGTGGCTCAAGCCTGTAATTCCAGCACTTTGGGAGGTCACGCAAGAGGATTACCTGAGTCCAGGGGTTTGCGACCAGCCCTAATCATAAAATTAGCCGAGCCAGATGGCATGAGCCTGTAGTTCCAGCTACTTAGAAGGCTGAGGCAGAAGGATCACCTGAGCCTAGCAGATGGAGGCTGCAGTGGCCGCCATCTATAAATAAATAGATACACAGATAATTATTTTAAATATGTGGAGTACAATTCAGGGTTAGCTATACAAATGTTCATTATGCAGGCAGTCACGTATTTTTTAAAACCACTTTCGATGCCGGATGCAGCGGCTCACACCTGTAATCCCAGCACTTTGGGAGGTGGAGGTGAGAGGACTGCCTGAGCCCATAGGTTTGAGACCAGCCTGGGCAACTTGGAGACACTATGTCTCTATAATAAATCAAGAAAAATTAGCTGGGCATGGTGACGTGCACCTGTAGTGCCAGCTACTTGGAAGGCTAAGGTGGTGAAAAAATTCCCCTGAACTCAGCAGGTAGGGACTGTGGTGGCCGTGAATCTGCCACTGCACTCCAGTCTGCAACAGACTGAGATACTGACTCATAAATAAATAAATAAAACCACCTTTGATGTTAATTTCAGACTCAGCACTTTTGCGTAATCATTAGACTTTCAACTTCAGTGAGTTTTTCCTTATCCAATTTGTTAACTCATATCTTCTTTTTAAAAATTTTTTAATTCTAGGAGCTCTAAGAGCCCAGCTCTCACTCAAAGTCTTCCTAAGTGAAATTGTACCTAATGTTGAGTTTTCTTTGTGCCAGATGATGTTCTAAGTCCTTTAGATGCACTAATTCATAATCCTTATGAGCTTTTTATGAGCACAGTTATATTTCAGTGTTTGTTTTAGAAATGCATAACTGAAGTATAAAGAGATTACATAACTTGTCAAAGATTTGAGATGTGAACCCAGGAAACACAGCTTAAGAGTTCATGCTCCCTGAGCCCGCGGGTTCGAGACCCATCTCTACAATAAATCAAAAAATCAGCCGGGCGTGGTAGCGCATGCCTGTAATTCCGGCTACTTGGAAGACTGAGGCGGAAGGATCACCGGAGCCCAGCAGGTCGAGGCTGCGGTGGCCGGGAGCAGC